TGAGAGGAACCTGACCAACCTTTTAAAAACCCAAAGGTTTAACTAGTGCTAAGTGCTTATTTGTTTAAGTTAGACTTCCCATGAAATATAGTATTAAAAGAGGGTTTGTGTCATATTGGAAGTTTTTAATTAAAATAGCTATTTTATTGAAACAGCAGTGATCAGAAAGTCATTTGGGAAAGAAAAGCATTATAGTGATATGAGACACTTTAACAATAGCAAGAAAGCTTTCCCGTTTCCGGAACTGCAGAGAGTCCTAATACGGCCTGCCTGCAGACTTTGGAACTGGTTTTGTTCTCATGCATCCACACAGTTACCTTTGTTTTTGTTTTTCATTTAAGTACAATGCAAATTTTTAAAAATATTGCAGCCAGAAAAACTTTAATTAGAAGAGTGTTTTAAAAACAAAAGTAAGAGTGAAAAAAGGAGCAGTTACATTCACCTGCTGTCACTTGACAGCTACAATCGTGCTTCTTGGGAGAAGTAAAAGAGCACCACTGCGGACCATCCATAACTATGGAATGCACTTTTTTCAAATAGGCCAAATTTTCTGTAAAGTGAGGGGGAAAAGGAAGAGCTTTAACAAAAGAGTAGGCTGATAGTCTGATCAACATCTGGACACCCTGAAAAAAGGAATGGAGTACAGTAATTCTACAGTAAATGCCTAGGATTGACTGCAAGTTCTGTTATGTTCAGTGGATCTTGCTCCCTAGAAATCGCGTTTAGGATTGTTGCCTAAACTAAGCTAACATTCGAATCTCTGAGGGTAAGTGTTGTTATTTCTTTTACTAACTACCTTGTGCAGGTTGAACGTGGAGACACGTATTAAATAAGTAGTAGAAGTAGCAGTAATAGTAATGATTGTAAAGTAACTCAAGAAAAACAAATGGATAGTATTGAAACATCTCGCCTCTGGAAGAAATACTTCAGTGGTCCTGTAGTCATTAGGGTTTTAGGAACAATATCAAGAAATTTCACACAGTACTATAAGCAGTTGCAGCTCTCAGAAATCACACTATCAGAGTTACAAAAAAGGGCAATATTAGGAACAGCATACATACTGTGCTGATAGTTAACAGATACTTAGGTTTTTGGTTAAAACTTGTATCTGTTATATAATGGCAATCAATGTTTTTATAATTTTGACTGTGTCTGATGTTTAACAACAACAACAACAACAACAACGATAATGATGTGCCATCAAGTCAATAATAAATAAGACAGATAATCATTTCTCTATAAATGCATAATTCTTCTAAAAAAAATCCTACACATGGAATTTGATTATTGTCTTTTGAGCCCCAGAATGTACTGTTTGTACAAAACCAATAGCTATATTTTGCTGTGATACAAGTAAAATTCTCTTCTACATGTACATGCAATTCAAATAAATGATGCTTGGCTTTTAATCCATATAAAGTACTATTCTTTCCTCTAGGAATACAAGGTTTTTCCTGTCTTTTCTTGTTAATAATTAGGTCATTCCTGTATTTTTAGACAGAAGAATAAATGCACTGTTTGACCTTTTCCATCTGTGAGTAAAACACGGATTATTACACTTCCATGCAGCAAAAAAGCACCTGCAGTGTTTACTCTGGCCCATCAAATATTTATCACTGTTCCAGAAACACTATTTCAATAAAGCACCAGTGCTTCCTTGAACTGTGAGTTATCTCTATGGGTAATTGAAAGGCATAGAGCATATAACCTTAATGTAAACCTTAAGAGAAGAAATTATACTATTCACTTTAAGCAATGGAGCTATACATTTCTGGTTCAAACTCTCAGGTGGGTGAATAGGCTGTTTAAAAAAAAGATGAAGGAATGGTTTGTAAAAATTATGTACAGAGCAAACGGTCACATGGAGAAAATAGCAAAAAATACTCTCCATGACAAATGATTCATCTGGAATGACTATGGGGGTGTTCAGAAGGGCATATAGCTTTGGACTGCTTTTGGTGCTGTTTGGTTCAAATCAAAGTACAGCATCTAAAATGTTTTGACTTAAGAGTGATCTATTCCACCCCTTTTTAGAGCTGTCCTGCTCCTTTTTGGCACAGTGCTAGGGCCACCTTTTTTTTTTTTTTGCATGATTCAGAGGGCTCTTAGTTATCCTGTCTGCAGCCCATGCAGATGGTTAGTTAGCACACAAATAGAGCTATAGACAGTGTTATCTGAGATGACAACCCTGTGACAAAGTCAGTGGGTTGCCACATTAAAAGGGAGGATGAAGATAGCCCTTCTATTTTTTTCTCTTTTTAAATAGTATCTATAACTGACACAGTGAAATTCTAATACAGTGGAGGTGTTGTTTGGTATAATAGGTATAATATGTGTATTATGCTAGGCTGATGCATTGTTGTAGTGCTGTGTCACTTAATTTAACAAAAAAGTTATGAGTCCTGGGAAAAGGTAGGGAAGGGGAATGTCATTAATTGAAGGGACAAATTAGAGTGATTGAAAACCCAGGAAAAGAAACATCTATTAGTGTGAACAAAGATTGTCCAAGTGGGAGATAAAATAAATTGCACTAAAAATAAAAACCTTTTAAGTGGAATCAGATAGCTCCAACTTTCTCCACCCCAAGGGTGTGCTCTAAATTTAAGAATGATGGAAGTGTGGATAAAAAAGTGGAGTCCCGTACCATCCCCATATCAGCTGGGAATTTGTTCCAAGCCCCTATGGATACAGAAAACCGTGGATAATAACTGTGGTGTTTGCCCTCATGGCCCCTGCTTTGTTCTTCCCTCACAAAGGCTCACATTGCGTTTTCCTCTCGCTGCCACCACAATCCAGAATTTAAATGATGTATGTTAGAACACTTGTCTTGTGAAAAGAAACAGAACTTATTTATTGAAGGGGAGCAGATTGAATAATAACAGAAGTTTCTCAGATACACATTATACATAAGCAATTCAACAGTTCTCTCAGTCCATACTTCTTTTCTCTTGCAATCCCATTACCAGCTTCTCTACCTATTTTCCTAATCAGCTCTACAGCATCTCTCTCAGTATCTGTTCCCTCTCTGACTAACCAGCCCTATCTGACTCCTCCTTTTCCCACCCAGCTTCATGTAGCTGCTGATACCACCTCTCCAGCCCTCTCATACATTCATGCAAATCAGCTCATGAATATGAACTGCATGAGCGACATGGGTGGTCGCCACAATAACGAATCCTAGATATTTACATATAATAATCTTAGAACTGCAGAGCGGGAATGGACCCTATGGATTGAGTCCAGCCCATCAAGGAGGCACAGTGGGGGATCAAACTCCCACCATCTGGGTCTAAACCACAACACAGTTCCATTGGGCTCCCTGGCCTCTAACAGATTAATTACAAGGACACATACAGTATTTTCTGGGAATGACTCCCCTTAACTCAGTGGGGCTTACTCCTCGACAGGTAGAGACGGGTTTTCATTAATAGAAGTATAGTTTCCAAATCCTGCGAGGTGCTAGTCAGTGCTCTTCAGCACTGGTTAGGCCTCACCTTGAGTATTGTGTGCACTTCTGGATACCACACTTCAAGCAGGATGCTAACAAATTGGAACAATTTCAGAGGAGGGCGACAAGGATGATCAAGGGGCTGGAACCCCAAGCCTTATGAGGAAAGGCTAAAAGAACTGGGCATGTTTAGCCTTGAGAAAAGAAGACTTGAGGAGTGATATGATAGCACTTTTCAAATATCTGAAAGGCTGTCATACAGAGGAGGGGCAAGACCTGTTCTTGATCATCCCCGAGTGCAGGACAGGCAACAATGGGTTCAAGTTACAGGAAGCCAGATTTCTGTTGAGTATTAGGAAAAACTTCCTGTCAGAGCAGTACAGCAACTGAACCAGTTCCCTCGGGAGTTGGCGAGGGCTCTAACACTGAAGGCATTAAAAACCTCGGGAGTTGGCGAGGGCTCCAACACTGAAGGCATTAAAATTTTTTTGGATAATCACCTGACGGATATGCTTTGATTGTATTGCTGCATTGAGCAGGGGGTTGGACTTGATGGCCTTGTGCGCCCCTTCCAACTTCACTGTTCTCTGATTCACTGTCACAATTCCCTTTCACGCACACCAGCCATTAGTGAGCGCTAGGGCGCTTGCTAAGACATAGTACGTACTCTCTCATATGGCTGCCTCGCCGGACTAAACCAGTCGCCAGTAACTTTCGTCCGCCGCGAGCTGGTCAGGCTCAGCCTATTCAAACGTGACAACGCGTGAAATGCTTATGCCGGTTCAAGAGTTTCCCGCGCGGCCTTTATAAACCAAGCCTCGGACACGTATCTTTCCTTCCACCTACCGTCTCATACGGGCACAGAATCTCCTGTCCCAACTCCCAGGGCTCTTTCACAAAAGCACCCCTTTCGCGGTTCTCTCCCTTCCCTCCCCGTCTCAAAGCCGCGTCCCAGTCTTATCCACCCCAGCCACGCCAACGCGCTGCCCGGCTCCCCGTCCCCACAGCGCCGCCGCCTCCCCCGCGCCCCGGCAGCCACTCTCGGCAGAGGCCGCCCTTTCCCAAAGCCCGCCCTTCCTTTCCCTCCTGGCCGCAGCTCCTCCTCCGTGAGGCCCGGCCGCGCACTCGAGCCTCCCCTACAAGGACGCTCGCTCTTCACTGGGCAGGTAGGGGCAGCTTCCTCGTTCCCCGGCTTGTCGGGAGCCATGGCCGCGGCGGCGGCGGCAACAGCAGCCTTCAAGTTCCTTTCGAGTCAGGTTCTGCGGCGCGCTCGCTGCCCGCTTGGCGGGGTTAGGTGAGAGCGGCTTAGCGGGACCGGGAGGAAGGAGGAATGGCGTGTTGTGTTCTTGCAGGACAAAGCTGACGGGCGTGGGGCTGTCGCAAGAAGCCCTGGCCGACTTTCCCTCCTTCCCTCCCCTCTAGAGGAAAGGAGAGAGCGCGAACCGCCTGCCCCTTTCCTTACCCTCCCCAAACCCTATTTCATTATTTCCCACACTATGGCCAAGTCTTTTGTTGCACCACAATCACAGTCGCACAGGACCTTTCTGTACGGCTTGATCCCAAATGCGGGGTTCCTGCTGACTTCCCGCGCCCCCACGAATGGGTTGGACTACAATGCTCATCGTTCCTAGTCAGTGTAGAGTTTGCTAAGAACAGTGGGAGTTTTCCTACCACACAGCTGGAGGGCACCAATTTGCAGGAGGCTGGAAGATACCAAACCTCTGTTGTGTCTCCAAATAATACTTCCTCTGTGGAAGTCTTGCCTTTTTCTGTACTAGTATGTGTATAGTCATGACTGTAGCACACAGGCAGCTGGCAGGACCCAGTGTCACAGTGGGCCTGCTGCTCATTGTACTCCCCTTTAAGAAAAGGCAGCTGGCTCCAGGTTCAAGAGTTGCCATTTTAATTTTCTGCAGTGTTGTGGGAGTGATGCTATGTTGAGGGAAGTCAAAATGGTGGCTCTTGGACCTAACTGTGCAAGGTTTACCAAAAGGAACTTTACTGAAGTCCCTCTTTCTTGGAATTTTTGCTGCTCACTGTAGTTTAGCAATGGTAAGAAAGGAGCTATATGTTTTCCAGTGATACGTGTATATATTTTTACTACAGAATTTCCAGGGGTAAACCGGGCACCAAAAGCAGATGGAAGGTCATGATTAAAATTTAGCCATTATACCTCTACCTTAACTTACAAGTTGTAGAAGTTAATCTGTGCAAGCATTATAGGCAAAACCAAAATAGAAATTCTTGTTTAGTCATTAAGTCATATCCAACTCTTCGTGACCCCATAGACCAGAGCACGGCAGGCCCTCCTGTCTTCCACTGCCTCCCAGAGTTTGGTCAAATTCATGTTGGTAGCTTCAATGACACTGTCCAACCATCTCATCCTGTGTTGTCCCCTTCTCCTCTTGCCTTCAGTCTTTCCCAGCGTCAGGGTCTTTTCCAGTAAGATTTCTCTGGAGCCTCAGATTCAGGATCTGTCCTTCCAGTGAGCACTCAGAGTTGATTTCCTTCAGAATGGATAGGTTTGATCTCCTTGCAGTCCAGGGGACTCTCAAGAGTCTCCTCCAGCACCAGATTTCAAAAGCATTAATTCTTCAGCGGTCAGCCCTCTTTATGATCCAGCTCTCACTTCCATACATCGCTACTGGAAAAACCATAGCTTTGACTATGCGGACCTTTGTCAGCAAGGTGATGTCTCTGCTTTTTAAGATGCTGTCGAGGTTTGTCATCACTTTCCTCCCCAGAAGCAGGCATCTTTTAATTTCATGGCTGCTGTCGCCATCTGCAGTGATCATGGAGCCCAAGAAAGTAAAATCTGTCACTGCCTTCATATCTTCCCCTTTGATTTGCCAGGAGATGATGGGACCAGTGGCCATGATCTTAATTTTTTTTGATGTTGAGCTTTTGCACTCTCCTCTTTCACCCTCATTAAGAGGTTCTTTAATTCCTCCTCACTTTCTGCTATCAGAGTGGTATCTGCACATCTGAGTGTTGATATTTCTTCCTACAATCTTAATTCTGGCTTGGGATTCATCCAGTCCAGCATTTCGCATGATGTATTCTGCATATTAGTTAAATAAGCAGGGAGACAATATACAGCCTTGTACTCCTTTCCCAATTTTGAATCAATGAGTTGTTCCATATCCAGTTCTAACTGTTGCTTCCTGTCCCA